ACACTCGCATAGCCATATGATGGTCAACAAGATGAAAACCTCAGGTAAAGCAGTATTTGCCAAAGTTTTCCGATCTCATTAAGTTAAAGTAATCAACGCATCAAACAATTTCACAAGAAAAAACAAAAGAAGTGGTACCTGTCCAGCAATCATCGAACCATGCTTCGTGCCTTCAACTTTCGTCAATTCAACCAGCACTGAGATATACCTGAAAATAATATATTTACTCATACTTTTCCATTTATAAACGAAAAGCTCCAGTTTTATCTCTCCAAACTTTTACTGCAGTACACATTGCAGAAAAGTTTCAATTAATCTGTAATTCAAGAAACGCAGTGTAATTTCACCCGATACACCTAACAAACTCACTTTTCTGCTTCTGTGGTTTGAAGCTACATCACAAGCACTGGGCAATTTAGAGGTGATCTTGGGGTTCCTTTTTCGCTATCTGCCTCAGTTTGCTTTTCCAAACAGAAAAGCCAAATATGGATCGAAACGTCTTATCTGATTCTTGCCTCCTTTCCACATTCTTTCCTGCTTCCTATATTCAATGTGCCTTCGACACTTCGGCATCCAAAGCCAACCTGGATGCTACAATCGGCATATCATAAGCTTCACGCTGTTGATCTGTTTCTTCAGATCACCCATCAACGACGATCCACCTCACGCTCGTTCGCAAAGAACTTGCTTAAGGCACTGGACTTGGCAGGAAATGCATTAGGAGTTATTTATTATTGCCACTAACTGTAATCCAAAAAAGCCAACTAAACAGCCTATTGATTGCCTCCCGTTCTTCTTTAGAGACCGCTACGCAAACTGTTATTACTACAGAAAAATCATAAGGAAATGTTGCTAGTATTATTTGTCGCTGTTAATAACATCGCTTGGAAAAGCTACAAATGCTATTGTCGCTATTATAACCATTATTATTATTGTTATTATTATTGTTATTATTACTGTTGTTATTATTATTATTATTGTTATCATTATTATTATCATTACTATTATTATTATCATTATTATTATTATTGTTACTACTATTATTACTATTATTATTGTTATTATTATCATCATCATTATTATTACTACTACTATAATAAGAGAGCAGTAGTGTTATTGAAAATGAGTGGAGTGAAAGACTTCAGAATCGATCATCGGTCTTCAATACGCATTCAGTAA